ACAAGGCCCCAAACCCTATACACCCTAAACACTAAAAGAAGCCCCCAAACCCTGAACCCCTAAACCCTAAACTCCTAAACCCTAAACCCCTAAACCCTAAACTCATAAACTCCGAAACCCTGTAAAACGCTGAAGCCCTGAAGGCGAGCCTCAGTCGAACCCTTTGGCGCTCCATGGGACAGTGGCGTTTGTCGGCTGAGGAGCCGAGGCCTGCGGTGCATGGCGCCCTTCATAATCACAAGGGTGTAGGGTTAAGGGTTTAGGGTTTAGGGTTTCGTAAAACTAAGAAAAGAAGAGGAAGAATAATACGGAGAGAATAAGACTAAGACTAAGAAGAGGAAGAGGAAGAAGAACATGGAGAGAATAAGACTAAGAAGAAGAGGACGAATAATATGGAGAGAATACTATAATGGGAATAAGACAGAGAAAAACTGGAACAAGAATCGCAAGAAACGGGGTAAGAAGACCTACGAGAATGAGGATGAGAAGCGTAGTAGCGTGGGGTTTCGCTTCTACCGGGGTTTAAGGTCCTTACTGCAGCTAAGGACCCTGCTATGATTATGCTGTAGGGCCTTTGTAGGGTCTTCTGGCGCCCTTCCAAATTCGGCTCACCCATTTCAACGCTAGCCCATCCTATCACGAAGCGCTCGAATCCACTAGAAGGAACCAAAGTGGGATGAGAACTGAGAGCGGCAAACTTTTGCCTGCATTCTAACTTTTTCAGCTGGTGTGCATCAGAGTTGAGGTTCTGAGGCCTGAGGTGGTAGATGTCGAGGTTTCGGGTGCACGTGGAGCTTTGGCACTTTTGGCTCACTGCCTAGCTCCCCTTGGAGAATACTGCAACTGGCCGCAATAGATTATGTTTATGTGTGCAAGCTACACATACATGTCTGTACACAGATGGATACACAGTGATCTGCACAAAAGCGTATACACATACATACATACATACATACATACATACATACATACATACATACACACACACGCATGCACATAGATATTCATAGACATACACACCTTTTTTGTGTCATAACTGATATGATATGATATGATATGATATGATATGATATATATATATACATATATATATATATACATCCATATGTATATGTATCTATATATGAGTATATGTACCAGCACATCTACACATAAATACATACATATATGTATATATATATACACACACAGCTACGTACATTTCATACGTAAGTGCATACCCTGTATCCGACCATCCCTCAACAGGATCTTCCTGGAGTGCCGTGCACCAAGCAAGTGCCTGGGCAAAAGCGATGCCAAGTGGGCCCACCTGGGCCCCCCGGCAACCACACACGGAGCGCCCAAAGTCCCTTCATTGAGGAATATACCTAAAAGTATACAGCGGGCTGCTTGCCATGGTTTAAAGTGCATTCCTTGTCTGAGTCTAAGGGGTGTTATGCTTGAGTCTAAGGGATGCTATGCTATCTGGGCATTCAGCTAGTGGGTCCGATGATGTCCGCCTCTGTGTATCGCGCGAAGCAACGGCAGCTCGGGTTACTAGTATATACGAAATACATGTTAGCGATAGACAGCACGGTGACAAAGCCAGTGGACCATGAGCAGATGGGCATCCTGTTGTCCTGTGAAACAAAGCAAGATGCGGACACACCTTGTTTGTTTGCTCGTTTCTGCTTGACACAAGCTTCAGTGCCGGCATTCTAGCAACAAACCATGCAAGTTCACAAGTACAACGATCGGACCCCAAAGCACAAACCCACCTCCCAAGACCCTACACTCCTTTGCAGCCTGGAGGCTATGAAGGCATGCTTCTGGAAACTGCTCGTGCCATCCACCGCCTGGAGCATCTGTAGCGGCATCGCACACTTTAAAGCCCAAAGCGGCGAAGCATCGGCGTACAGCTACGGTACTGATAGAATCTCTTGCGAGAGAATGCTTTTCGCCAATGGACCTGTGTATTTCAGGAGCCGATCGGCTGACGAAGCAAGGTTGAAACGTGCGCATGCACGGAGACGGCACGAGAAGCATGCTCATTGCCTGCAGACTCTGGCTCTTTGCTGTTGCTTGAAGAGTCTATCCGATGTTCAGCGGGGGAGCTCAAAAGTGTTGGGCAGGTTTCTGCAATTCTCATGTTCAGTGTAGTCGTGATGAACTTTTGCCACAGACACTAGTGCTGCGGCTCAAGGTTGTCATGATCAATACCCTAGCTAACCTTGGTTTGTTGTTGTGTAAGGAACGTCTTTGTTGTTCAAGATTCTGTGTTGGTTGTTTGTGACTCACCATAACATTCTCATTGCGATGGTATCTATTGAATCTATTGTTGCTGCTGTTGTTCCTGTCCCTTCCGTTGCGAGTTGCAGTTTGAGCAAAATTTAGGAAAGCCCGCCATCAGGCAGCGTCCCGCACAGCCCTCCAACATCCAACTAAGAGGCTTTACCGTTCAGGGTTCGGGGACAGCATGACGAAGCAATTAGTTCTCAAGGCCCCACAAAAGGTCAGAAGAAACGGACACAGTGCTCGCACTACTACGCAGTCCTTGCATCACCGGAAAACTACGGCGCCAAATCCTATACCGGAATCCCAAGCCAAAGGAAGTCCTGTCCTGTAAACCCTAAAACCCATAAACACAAAAACAAGCACGACGAAAACAAGAAACACGACACCCCCAAATGACACCCGAAACCCTGTAACCCCCAACTTGATAACTCCCCAAGCCCAGAACGCCAAGTCTTAAACTTGCAAAGCCCTAAACCCCAAACATATTGGGAAAAAAATATGCTCTCCACAATTATGTTTAGTTTTACCCTTGTGGAACCTGGACGGAACCCTTTGCGTAGCCCCTAAGGCCCTAAAGAACCCCTGAAAGCCTCGCGGGAGGCCGTTGGCCTCTTCGGGGGCAACGCCCGTCTTTTCAGCGCCGTCCAAGCGGCCAAAGCTGCCCCAGAGCAGCCCTCAGAACCACAGGACCTAACATAGGGTTTCGGTTTTCGGGTCTACTGGAGTCTACTACACTATACTATAGGTACCTTTAGGGTTTGGGGTTTGGGGTTTAGGGTAAATATAGGGGTCGAAATTCCAAAATACCAAAGGCTATAGGTTTCGCGTTTATGTAGGGTGCTATGCTTTGAATAGGTACACAATTCGGGGTTTCAGAACCAGTAGCAGCACATGCAGTGAGCAATGCACATCCTCGGCTTGTTGATGCTGAGGTCTGTCTTGTTGCATCATGTTATTGTTTCTGTCACGTCGCTACACTCCCGCCATCTAGAATATCTCAACACTTGGTTTCTTTCTCATCGGCTTCTCTGTCTTCACTGATAGACGATAGACGCCACCCTCAATGAAAGGCAAGACTTTGAAGGACTCGGTGCGGAATGGCTAAATACAGCAAGCCTGGGTTGAACTGAAAATCGTAAAAAGGACCTAATGCTATGGGGTTGGGGTTTGTATAGGGTTTACTGTCGGGGTTTATTACTGATACTGTACTCTGCATCTAGGTCTCTTTACCTAATCTAGGGGCCTACAGGATTTCCAACACTATTAGGAGTTCCTTCTTCTGGCTGCAGTATAGTCTATACCTCAAAGACTTATGAAGAGTATTAAGGCCCGTATATTATATTCATGCTATACGATACCATGCTATGCTTTTCATACTAAGATACACTATGCTAATAATTATCATACTATACCATGCTATACTATACTTATCCGATATTATACTATACTGTACAATTCTTTACCATACGACACTTATGCTGTACTGTACTTTTCTATTCCATTCTCTTCTACACTGGACTATGCTCGAGCAGGTTTTCGCAAAATACTGCACTAGAGATATATAGGGACTATGTGGGACGGTTTTTTTCTAGTTCTTCAGACCCCCTGTGTTATCTAACGTTTCTGTAGGAGTGTTGTGGTGCTCGCAGCGGTCATTTAGGGGATTATAGATTCCAAAACCGACTCGTTGGTGTTCCTTGGGGTTTTGTAAGGCTTTTATTTGTGGCCTATAACTACTCAGAATGTAGCAGTACGCCCGCTACACTTTAGGGTTATGTCCCTGAATTAGGTGATATTGAGGCTCTGGGTTCTGCCCTTCAGGAATTCGGGTTGGGGTTGTTTGCCCTCTCTTGAAGACTCTCTTGGAGGGCACGACGGCCGCGAAGCGCGTCGATCCTTTTGCTACCAAGGTCTCCATCTGTGCCGTGAAGGTCCACCCTGGGAAGAGGCCCAAGAGTGCATTGGGTTGTATAAGGGTTCTGGTTGCTACTATAAGGGTGCAAGGCTACTCGATGGTACCGATAGGGAGAAGAGTCGGAGAAGCCGTCGTCGTCAGCATTTCCTGTCACTTCAGACAGCTGTAACAGCTGTAGTCTTCAATCCGTCGGAGATCCTCAACATCCACAGTCCGACGGGGCAATAAACAAAGACTGTGATGACTGGTTGAGCTAAAAGCAGCAGGAATCCCAGTTTGTGTACAACGGGGCCCAGAATAATTGCCAACACTATTCTGGTGGGTTTCTTGATTAAAACTGTGGTATAACTTACGCCAAAACCCTACTCTAAATACTAGGGCCCCTATATTATCCTTGAAATGAAGGCCGGACGAGCCAGAGATGCGGCTTTTGGCCAAGCTCGTCAGCTCGGAGCCTCAAGCATCGGTTTGGCTAGTGAGCCTTCGGGTTTGGGGTGTAGAAAGCTATTAAGATGTATTCACACAGTACGAGACATTCTTACACTAATTACTCGGGCCGCTGATGATCGTGATGATGATGAGAGATGCTTACGACGTATGCCATATAGCCTGATTTGACACAATATCGACTCTAGCGGCTGGGTATTGTGTAACCCGAATGCTTCCGGTGCTGGCTCGTCAGGCTCAGGCTTCTGCATCGCGATTGCCCCCCTAAACATTCGCAGATGATTTCCATCAGCTGAGCTCTCTGCATGAAGATCTCTGTTGAAGTAGCCCAGCAAACACACCTTTTGCACGTCACCTTGGCGCCATGGAGTGTCTAGCCGCGGTGTCGCAACTCTGCTCCGCCAGAAAGAAGCAGACGAGGCGCAATCTCCTGGAACATGTCTGCTAGATCGCACGGTGGTTAGGGGCCGGTAGGGCGCCGCGCTACTTGCGTTTGGGGTGCGTGGGAATTTCGGGTGTGTTTCGTGCAGCCTTGCATCTTGGAAGTTGACTGATCGGCATAAGAATGTTAGTAACAATTACGATAGTAATGAGAATAGCAATAATGATAATAATGATAGTAATCTGCGGCCCTCGGTTGCCGTTTAGAACTTCTAGAGCTTATAGAACTTTTAGAACTTTTAGAACTTTTAGAACTTTTACAACTTTAAGAACTTATAGAACTTTTAGAACTTTGGAAACTTCAGTTCTAGAACTATTAGAACTTTTAGAACTTTCAGAACTTATAGAACATTTGGAACTTTTAGAACTTTCAGAACTTATAGAACATTTAGAACTTTTAGAGCTTTTAGAACTTTTAGAACTTTGGAAACTTCAGAACTAGAATTTTAGAACTTTCAGAACTTATAGAACTTTTGGAACTTTTAGAACTTTTAGAACTTATGGAACTTTTAGAACTTATGGAACTTATGGAACTTTCAGAACTTATAGAACTTTTAGAACTTTTAGAGCTTATAGAACTATTAGAACTTTTAGAACTTTTAGAATTTTTGGAACTTTTAGAACTTTTAGAGCTTATAGAACTATTAGAACTTTTAGAACTTTTAGAATTTTTGGAACTTTAAGAACTTTCAGAACTTATGGAACTTTCAGAACTTATAGAACTTATAGAACTTTTGGAACTTATAAAGCTTATAGAACTTTTAGAGCTTATAGAACTATTAGAACTTTTAGAACTATTACAACTTTTCGAACTTTCAGAACTTTTAGAACTTTCAGAACTTTTAGAGCTTTTAGAACTTTTAGAACTTTGGAAACTTCAGAACTAGAACTTTAGAACTTTCAGAACTTATAGAACTTATACAACTTGTAGAACTTGTAGAACTTATGGAACGTTTAAATCTTTCAGAACTTATGGAACTTTTAAAACTTTTAGAGCTTATAGAACTTTTGGAAGTTTTAGAAGTTTTAGAACTTTTAGAACTTTAAGAACTTTCAGAGCTTATAGAACTTTTTAGAACTTTTAGAGCTTTTAGAACTTTTAGGACTTTGGAAACTTCAGAACTAGAATTTTAGAACTTTCAGAACTTATAGAACTTATAGAACTCTTAGAACTTTTAGAACTTTTAGAACTTTTAGAACTTGTAGAACTTTTAAAACTTTTAGAACTCTTAGAACTTTTAGAACTTATAGAACTTGTAGGACTTGTGGGACTTGTTGAAGTTGTATAACTTTTAGAACTTGTATAACTTGTTGAGGCTCTGGAACGCCCACTCGCCGCAAATGCAACGAGCGCTTGTCCACGCGCCCCAAATGCAACCAACCCGCAGGGCGCCATGGTTGTGGGCAGTGACTTCCAAGCCCCTAAGTCTCAAGGCCTCTGGTTCTAACCCAGCTCTGTTGAAGCGCTGTGACATCTCCATAGTGTGACGCCGTCATCAATCAAGCGTCACAGGCTCGATGTATCGGATGCTGCGCATCCTTCGATATCAGCTGTAGTAAAGCTTACAGTAACAAACAACGACAAGAGCTGCAAGTAGGTCATAAAGTGGTGGGTTCATCAATGACCTCACCACTGGGAGTGTGGCTTGTAGTTCATGCTGGCAGACCTGGGCTGTTGCTGAATACAAGCGGCCGTTCAGCTTTCTGGCGCATTGCCAGGCTCTACATCATCCGGTCGTGGCCTAAGAATCGATAAGTGGGCACATCTCCTGGCACAGTTGCCGAGACTGCTACTACTAGAGATAGTCCCTCTTTGTGTCCTGGCATGCGAGGCACGGTGAAACCGCTTCCTGGACTGCAGATTCTTATCGCTTCTTGGGGATTCCGGAGCCTCGTTTGGTTTTTCGAACTTACCAACTGCAGCTTCCGTCGATCATCACCAGGAGCCCTAAGTGCCTCTCCAGTGTCATGCCGGCACAGTTCCAATCCGACCGATTGCTTTCGGTATTTCTACGCGCGAGGTCTGGAATGCAGAGCGCCGCATTCAGGGGCAGCTACTCGGCATGAAGGCTCAACACCAAAGATCTCTCGGCGACTCCTCAACCCAGTGCTTTGTCAGACAATTTCGGTTCACCGCTGCAGGACTTTGCTCAATTGGACAAGACTGCCAGCTTCTGCACCTGCATTGCATGCCCAGAGATCCGAAGCGACACATGGATCCAAACTCTGCAGCCTCCATCGCACCGCTCCTGTTCTAAGCCTGGCTTATCTGCTATTCAAGCGTTTTGCCTTAGTCTAGGCTAGAACTCCACTGCTTATAAGCAGTGATGCTACTATAAGCAGGGAGCAGCAGCAGGAGGCGGAGGAGCGGGAGGAGGACAGTACGTAGCAGTAGTGCTATTGTAGCTTGCAGTTGTAGTCTCAGGAGCAGCAGCAGCAGCAGAAAGATGATTAAGGCTTGACATCGACCTCAATGAAGTGGGCAAGGTCCAAGCCGAGGCACGCTATTCCGAGCAATGTGCCGATTATTCTGAAGATTTGCTGCGGTCAGAGCTACCGGCAGGTTGGTTATCGTCAACATGACCCTAAAACCTAAACCCTTGTGACCGCTGTTTAAGTTTATTGTAGCTGTTCTCGCAGTGTTATTGTTGGTTTCCGGACCGATTCGGAAGTTCATCGAGCACTATACTGGCCATATGCAGTCACCATAGCCGGTTGAGTCAACGTCGAGAAACCGGACCAACTACTACTGAGAGCTTGTAGCTTAGAAGGAGCTCCCGCTCTCATTGCTCGCAGAATACTGCGGATGCCTTGAGTCGGCTGGGGGTGCTCGGCCGCGCAGCGGCGGTCGTCAGTTCAGCAGCCGGCACAGCATTGAGGAGTGAGGAGAGCAACAGTCATAGCTACAAGAGTTATGCTGTTAAAGTTTAAAGACAGGCATTCAACTAATCGACTAATCGAAAGATTTGGTAACATGGAGAGGAAGGATCAGCATTGTACGGGGCTTTATGATGTGTATGTACAGTGTATGAATGTGTATGTGTATGTGTATGTGTTGCGCATGTGCATGTGGGTATGCATTTGTACACTATGCTGGTGTGCAGATGTAGAAGTAGATGGAGATTTGGAAGTGTACGCACGCATCTATATTTAGTTTCCCAATAGAATGACAACATACACACGTGTGTGTGTACTGGCCTGTTACATTTACCGGGTCAGGTACATAATATGTATATGTACATGTGTATTATATATATATATACACATTGTTTTGTGTGTTTGTGTTTGTGGGTGTGTGTGTGTGTATTTGTGATCGCGTGTGCTGGCACATGTTCGTCTGATCCTATTCGGTTTAAGTTTAGGCAGCTCCTTTTTTTTGTACGTATGTCGGCATGTGCACACATGTGCATGTGTACGCACAGAGCTTTGTGTACGTGCTAATATACATATATATATATACATACACGTGTGTGTGTGTGTATATATATATATATGAAGATGTGCATACAAACATCAAACATACACTATACATACATATATACATTCATGCATATATACATACATCCATACATGCATGCATACATACATACATACATACATACATGCACACATGCACACATGCGTACATACATAAACTCACAAGCATGCTTAGATATATACGAACGAGCCTGGCGAATCGAAAGTGCCAGTGCAGGCTCCAGACACATTGCTGCACTTTTCAGAGCCAAGGATCTCCTCCGAGCCTCCAGGACGGCCGACATTATCGCGGACGCTCGGGCGAACTTTTCAGTAAGGAGAATGTCGAGGTTCAGGATGGGCTCAAGTTCGCACAAATTCCCAGCATGGTAAGATTGAAAAGCTGCCAGGACAACTCTCAATTTCAATAGATACCCCACTCCCGACTTTTGGTTCTGTGGCACAGAGGCAGACATGTAGGTCGTTGCCTCAAGGCCAGACCGCGACCAAAACCGCGACCAAAAGGCTTATTCTCATTTTGGGCTTCACCTCCCCCAGCCGGAAGCCGGAAGACCCAACTCAGTCACGACAAAGCATCAAGCCCTTTCAGCCACCACCAAATCTTCGCACGGCGAGCCACAGGTCACAAGGTTGTTCGGACCGCTCCAGCATGGAGCAACTTGTGGCATGAAAGAGCTCAGAACAAAACAAGCCACAATGTACTGGGGCCAATGTTTCTACCAACTTCGAGTTTGAGTTTGAGACCAGTAAAATGTCGTGTCAAGACGGCATACCCTCTTCAAGAATGCAGTTGACGGCAGCTGGCAAAGTTCAATGATATAGAATACAGAAACATAGAGTGTGTATATGTACATATATACATGAGTATAAGTCAACAGTACAAGTATATCTCTGTATATAACGTAGTATATAACGGCTGCGAAGTGAAAGCGGGGCATGACCTGAGGCTGCCAGTCCCCGGAAGCTGCACCGAGCGATGGATGCAGGCCGGCGCCGGCTTGCTTCAGGGAGCCTCAAAGAGAGCCTCCAAATTCCGTAGCTTAGCTCGTCCGCCATGATGTCTAAGCCCGGATCTCTTGGGGTCCTCCCAGCACCTCTTTCCGCTTGAAGAGAGCATCAAATAACTTGGAACAACCACCGTGCCCATGTTGCCTGAAGTTCTGAGAGAGGCATCCACGGCCAAGGCCAAGGGTCCTGCTTAGACAACCTCGCATCCACGCAGCGCGCCCCAAAACCCAAGGTACCAATAGCCCCACAAACTCTGAAACCCTATTCACTAATCCATCCTAAACAACCCTGCCAAGCCCAAAACCTCAATCGGCTTTGCTGTCAGGCTTCCGGGAGATCAACTTCGGCAAGCTTCAGGGATCGAGCTCGGACTGCCCTGACAGCCGCCGAGCCGAATGGTTTGATGTTTCAGATGGTTTGGGGTGGGAGTGTAGCTGGTAGATATCGGCTGGGACTCTCAGACCACCCCATGCTGGCATGTGAAATTCTTTGAATCCCAGACGCCAGGCAAAGCGCTCCAGACGGCGAACATAAATGCAGGGGCCCTGGCAGGGGTGGTTGCTGAATTCTCCTGTGTCGAGTCGCGCCTACTTGGGAGCTCAGGACTATGGCATTCCGGGTCTGTGGGGGTGTACTTGGAGGTTCATGGGTAGTTATAAGTAGGGTTATACGTCCCTTTTAATATGGGTTATGACTATAGTTACCCTAATTATAACCCCACTTATAACTACCCATGAACCTCCAAGTAAGGTTGAGAGTACGGGCAGTATCCACCAGTGGTTTTTGGACAGCGAGGACTTCGGGCTTTGTGGGGCTTGCTGGTAGGGATTGGCCCCACTGTTCCTCGTCTTGGTGTCCTTGTCGTTGTTGTTGGCCTTTTGGGAGCGGGTTGGGGGGGGGGGGGAAGTTGAGGGGGGTTAGGGATCCCTTGAGTGATACTTACGGTGTACTCTTCAGCGTTTGATGCAGGAAACTCAGATTTCGTGGCAACCACTGAGAGATCTCATGGCACTGCTCCTGGTTTGTTAGCACAGTGAGGTCGGCATGACTTCTGCTATTATGACAGTACTTTGTAGTCATAGTATATTATAGTAGTAGTAGTAGTGTGTCATACTATATCATATTATACTAGTAGGTTGCCAACCCAGTTGTTCTCAATCCAAAGCCTGCAAGAAGCCTGGGCGCGATGCGACTGATCCAAAGCACCCTCAAAGCTTCTCTGCCCGAAGAAGAGCCCGGCATTGTTTCCTCAGCCCTGGCCTACATGAAGCAAGGGGGCCACTCGAAAGTAAACTCACGGCAGGCCTGGCTGGAAGGCGACCTCTCCAAGGCCTCAGCAGGGCTAGCGCCAGCAGCTCAAAGTAGGACTTCAAGGGTTACGAGGCTCTGGAATTGAAGAAGCCGCACCCGCGGGTGAATCTCCTGTTGATGAGCCGTCAGCCCCACCTCTGAAGTGGAAGCTCGGATCATGCGAAGTGAAGGCCGTTTTTTTCTGCTATAAACAGCCCCCAGAGCACCTGAACAATTCCGCACTCATGAGATGCGAACAGCGGTGAGAGGGGAGGGAAGGGTTTCCTTTGTTGCACTTGTGTCAGGGCTACCCTGAGGGCGAGGACGGCTGTTCGCTGATGTCGCGCTCACTTTCGGCACTTCGCAATGCTGCGAAGCTCGGCGAGGTGGCACGGGGTTTTGGCGACTACATCTTCCTAATTGTGCCTTACTTGAGTTGAGGAATCCGAGGTCGGTGTTGTGCAACAGGCTCGCCGGCTACTGAAGGGCGCTTGCACCAACGGGCAGGGATTGGCCGAGTTTGTGATCCCCAACGCCTCTACAGCCATCAAGCACTGTTAAAGGATAGCAAAGGTATAATATGTGTAATAGTGCAGTCTGCAGGTTGTTATCGTTGTGGCCCACGGCGGCATGCCGCGCCCTTTGCAATCAGCTCGACTTGCAGAGATTGTCTGTGATGGCTGTGGGCCAGGGCAGTAGCTGTGAGGCTTCAGGCGGGCTGGTTGTCTACTGGGGTAAGGAAGGCTGGGCCGTTGAAAGTACCGCACGAGCGAGCCTGACGTAAACCCGACGGTAGAGGCCCAGTAGAATCAGTAGAAGAAGCCGCAGATCGACAGGCACCAGATGAGCTCCGGAGGGCTTCAATGAGATCAGGTGTCTTTTGACTGTCGGGATTGACAAGGAGTTGCAGTTGGTTGTGTTTTTGGAGCTGCAGAGAAATTGCCCTGGACGCGTGTTGACTTCAAGGAAATGAAGCTAAGCCTGATCCTCGCACCGAGGATTCGCTGGACCGCGGCTCAGATCGAAAGCGGCGAGGTGCCAGATGACGTGCATACGTTCATACCTACCTATTATTTCCCCTAGATTATCGACTCCGAGTGCTTCCAGCTCGAGGGCTCCCCCGAGACCTTTCAGGCGCCGCTCCGGAAGGGTGTGCCTTTCTCCGACTATGCGGCCACGTAGCTGTGGCAGCAAAGGGATGGCGGGGCACAAGAAGGACGGGGCACAGTGCCTCACGCATGCGTGATCTATCCCTTATATAAACAGGAAAAAGAAACATATCAGGGCTCGATGTTTTGCGTGTCTTGTCCGCGCCGGGAGAACTGAGGTTGGTGAAGCAGCCGCTGCTCGGGTGCAAGATGAGCAACAATAGAACCCCCGTGTCATGGAGTCTCCAGCATGATGTAGTTTCATTAGGCAGAGACCGGAAGCGCGCAGGCATACTCACATGGGGAGTTTTCTTCCGTAAGCCCTCCCCGACCGAAGGCCTACACCCTCCCGACTTGAGCTGACATGCCAGGGTGGTGAACTGCTGTTGCTCCACCGTGATCTACGACCACGCCTGGGGCTAAGTTGGCCATGCCGCCCTGGGTACTACGATTCCTTGTTTTCCTATTCCTGCTAGTTTGTGTACTAGGTCACTGGGTTGATCCTTCAAAACGCCCAGCATCATCAAACTTTTGACATTAATACCTTAAATCCCCTTTGTGACCCGCATGATTCGGAGCCTTGTCTTCCGAGGACTCCGACAGCTTCCACCCGGAAGCCTGGTTTGCGGACCTCCAATCCGTGTCCCAGGTGAACACCGTGAAGGCAAAGGATGACTCTGGCTGAGAGCCCCCCGGATTTTCGACTCAGGGATGTCGAGGCTTTCGGATATACTACAATATATACTTTGATCTACTATGATATACTATGATATACTATAATATATTATGACTATTATATACTATGATATACTATGGGCTTTAGGGATGATGGGGTCTCGGGATGAGACGTTGTTCCAGGCGCCGCGCAGCCTGCATCGGAAATCCTCATAGATCATAGGAGTGGCCTGGGCCATTTCTGAGACAGCAGCACCATGTGCTCGGGGGCGGTCCTGGGCGAAATGCCCAGAACGGATGTGCAGCCCAGCGCAAATGCGGCTTGGCATCTGCCTTCATTGCCCCCTCGCCAGCCCCCGGATGCAGCTCAGAGGATGCAGTTGCAAGATGCCCATCGGAGTTGCGGGTGTGCTGGCCGCATGATGTTGTAAATGCTTCAGGAGGTGTCCAAAACTTTTGCTGTTCTCGACCGACCAGAGAGAGAGCTGCTGGAAAAGCGACCGAGCTGGGCGGATCACGGAAAGCACAGGGCTCAAACTGCTGCTAGGAGCTCCAGTGAGCTGCAAAGACCAGACATGGCGACCCAGGTTTGGGGATCCTGCCCATGGCCTACAACGTCCAAGCCCCAGGTGAAAAAGGGGATCTGATCCGATTCTGGTTTTCAATACGCCCCTAGGCCCAACTTCCCCCACCATAGCCAGGCCTTTCAGGAGCGAATATCACAGCAAAAAACAGACTTCGCCCGCTTTCCGGTCACGGCAAAGGTCTTCGGACCTGACCAGAGCTGGATCCAGACGCCTCATGCAGAATCTGCCCCGGCCTCGGCCGAAATGCCATGGCCTTCACGAGTGAAAAAGCCCCAAACTCGGCTTACCCTGAGCCCCTAAACCCACGCCCAGGTCTTCTACCACCCAGAAATAAGAGATAATAGCAGATAAAAGCGGATAATGAAGTATAACAATATATTTCAACGTATGACAATATGCAACAAGATTTAGCAAGGTACAGCTCACAATATGATAACACTATATAATGGTACTACCAGTAATATTCTTAATAAATACAGCTTCAGGCGGCCGCCAGGCTCGGCATCACTCCTGCGACCTTGGCCTTGAAGTGGCTGGAGCACCGAGGCCTGGCCTGGGAGCCCGAGGTGATCTGAGAGTTTAGGGGCTTAGGGTTTAGGGCTTTGGGGTTTTGGGGTTTAGGGCTTTAGGGCTTTAGGGTTTTAGGGTTTTAGGGTTTAGGGCTTTAGGGTTTTAAGTTTAGGGTGTACATCTTTCCGTCTATCTATCTATCCATCTACCTGGCCATGTATTCATCCATCTATCTATCGGTCGGTCTTATCTATCTATCTGTCTACCTATCTAGCTAAATCTATTTATCTATCTATTTGTCTATCTGTCATCTAACTATCTATCTACTTATCTACGTATCTATCGATCTATCTAGCTACCGACCTGCCTAGCTACCTATCTATCTGTCTATCTACATGCCTATCTACCTCTCTCTCTCTCTCTCTCGCTATCTATCTATCTATCTATCTAACTAGCTATCTATCTCTCTATCTATCTCTCTAGCTAGCTGTCAAGCTGTCGATCTATCGATCTATCTACCTTCCTACTACCTACCTATCTATCTATCTATCGACCTGTATATTATGTACATACATACATATATATATACACACATACAACTGTGTATATGTATATACATATATACACAGATGTGCACAGATGTAAACATCGTTATCTGTTGTGTGCACTAAAGCTTCATTCCTTCTGCACATAGAATAAACAAGAATTAGTGACTATATACGAGTATACATACATACATACATACATGGTGCAGCAGAAGAGGGCCGGAGCGGTTGACAGATATAGATATAGATACATGTATATAATATGTATATGGCAGGTTGCACTACGCGATTTTGGAGTCTGTTAGCTCTTAGGTGTTCATGGTCATGTGTGCACACATATGCATTTCTGTATGTACGTATGCATGTATGTGTGTATCTGTGTGCGTGTGTACGTATGTATGTGTGTGTGTATGTGTGTATACATATATATATATGTGTGTGAGATAAAGGATATATATATATGTGTGTGTGTGTTTATTTGTTTGTTTGTGCGTTTGTTGGACGCTCCGGGTTTCCGGAGTTCTGGGGACCTGAGCCTAAGTTGCGGAGGCCATGGTCCAGGGCCTAGAGTCTCATCTTGAGTTGGATCAGCCTGTTGCTAGGAGGATATAGGGCTCAGATAGCTTACGTACTTACGTAGGGCTTTCATGCTGCATTCGGCTGAAGAGGACGTTGATGTCAGCATTGCTAAGTTTGGCGATCACTGCCCGCGCTTCAGAGCCCTTGACATGACTGCAGGATTCTTAGCACTGGTCCCAGAACTCCAGGATCTTTTCAAGCCTGGGGCTCGGCGTGTTTCACATCAGTGAAAGCCAACACATGCAGCGACAGGTCATGGCACGCGTGCTGCTGCCACCAGCAGCCACAATGCGAGCATAAAGCACACTGCAATCACGCTCACGACGGTGACAATGACCGTCAGATTGAGGAGCAGGAACTGTACAAGTGTCAAAATTATCATGATCAGAGTCGTAGTCGTAGTCGACATTGAACTGACTAATGTAAATCTGGCCGAAGACAGGACGATACTTTTAGAACAGTAGTGCTGAATCACTTGCAATAGTCGGAAGGCAAATGCTGCACCGCCTTTCCTCACTCCCAGAGCACAGGCTGCTATGCATCTGAACGAAAAGGAGCTTTGGCTCCAGCCGTTTTGTGTCCGGGATGGCGGTGAAGCTAAATGCAGTGGCTATGACATTGACATGTAGCAAAGATGATGCCGATAACCAGCATGGATACAATGCAAGGACGCTAGCAAGAGGCGCTTTCTTGCGAATCATGCAGTCTGCACGAGTGCAAGAGTCTTTGCCTTGCGTTGTCTTCCACGACGTCTCTTCAAGTGCTGTCGCCACAATATTGTGTTATATGATCAATGAGCTGTTATGGTGCGGCTACAGATGGATTTCGGGGCTTCCGCTGGCGGGATGCGACAATCAGGTGGAACAGACTGCTGCAAAGTGCAGAGTGTTCACACCCCCACGGCCGGCCAAAGCGGGGCTAGGGTGGTGTGGCCGAGGGCGTCAGGGACACAGTGCTACCCGTCAGACATCCTTCAAGCCTCCGCTTCAGTCGGCGTGAACGGGCCATGGTATTTTTCAGGCAGGTTAAATGCTCGCGACTGCTTGTTGCGCGTTCTGTGAAAGCCCACGTACTGTCTGGAAACTGAGAGTCTGTGCCCGATTCCTGTCTTTGGTCTGCCCTCAGAGAGCCGAAGGTGGGTTCAGCATCTCACTTGATGATGTTGTGGCTGGTACAGTGTGTCATATAGTGCGGTGGGGTGCACGTATAGACGTCAGCTGAAAACCCTAGCCCTTCAACTCATCGCGGGCACGGTGATCTTCAGGTCCACGGAGATTGATGACCATCGCTGGTTCATGCACATGCACCGTGGCTGCAGTCTGCCAGCCGTGTGACAAACGTAACTATGTTGGCCTTCTTCGGGCAAGAGGGGTTGTTCTAGCCTGACCAGAAAGGTCCTGCTTGTGCAACTGCTACTGCTGCAGCTAGTGTTGTTGCAGGGTGTGTAGCAGCGAAAGTGAAGTACGTATCATTTGCTCCCGACTAGAACATCGCCGTATGCTCTCCTCGTCAACCCACTCCACAACTCTATTGGCATAACTTGGCAGGTACCGCGAAGCACCCTCGGTGGAGGCAGGGCATGCGGCGCCGTAAGTGCTTTGGGGCTTAAGGCTTCAGTGTTAGTGGCGTTTTGTCGTGTCGTATTTTTGTAGGTCTGGATGTATGTGTGATATGTGTGTAAGTATGTATGCACACTCCTTGTAATTAGAGATACCTGATAAGGATTGTTTGCAGAGCTTGAAGCTTGGGCTTGGCATGGGAGGTTAGAGTCGGGCCAGTCTTCAAGAAAATGATGAACCTTTGGCGGGTGGTACAGGCAGAAATTCAGACGCAGCAGCCGTCTTTCCAGTCGTTAAGGAATTATATGCGATTTAGGGGGTTGAGCAGCAAATTTGAGCGGGTTCGGGTCAGGGGCTTAGATGTGTAAGCCGTTTAGGATTTAGGACGTCCACAGCTTTCAACTCTGTGAAACAACACACCCAAGCGCAATCAGCAAAGGAAAATCATAGCAGCAGCCCAAACAGTAGCCAATGACCGGAGTAAGGTTCGAGGCCCCATGACCGCCATTAATTTCATTTGAGTGTGTTTTTTTCCTCAGGGTAGGCTCCAAGGAGAGAGAGCATGCCTGCTTTAGAACTTTAGAGCTGGTCTTCAGAAGTGCAGTCATGACGACATGTCGCCGCCATCATCATGGTCTCAGGCGAACTCTAAACGCTAACACCGCGCCCCGAAACCCTGATTCAAGAGTTCCGACAAAGCCCCTTCATCCCCGCAGCCCTAAACCCTCAACCCAGAGCACGTAAACGCAGGAAAGCCCTCATTTACGCCCTGACCTGGCTCCAAATAACGCCCATCCCCTCAATCAAGCGTCAGCCCAGAATCCTAAAGAACCTCGAACCCCAAAAGTAAGCACAAACCGTCCCAAACCCTGGACCCAAACCACGACTAACAGGGGTTGGGGGCCTCCTTGGGGCGCTTGTTCAATGCCTTCCAGGGCGCGGGCCCAAACTGTTTGTTGGAAACCTTCACTTCTCGTCGAGCGGCCAGCACAGGCCGCGAGGACCCACAACCTGACGCCGATCCGTCTCAGCTGTGGTTTGCTGTGAACGTAATCCTTGTTATGTAGAGCCGCGAAGGGAAGCAGAGAGCAAGAAAACCGTTTTGAGGGGTTTGGGGGTTGAACCCGAAACCCTAATTGAGAATAGTTGGAAGCAGTGACGGTGGAACAGGGGTGGCCACGATGGATGAGATGGAGCCGGGTCAGTATACACAACTGGAGTCCATGACGG